TATCCCCGTCGACAGTAATCCCGGTTAACGGGGGTCTTTGCTTTTAGGGCCGTCCTTCGTTGAAGGGACAGCCGATAGGCCGCGGGCTCGATTTCAAAGAAGCGCACTGCGGCATAACCATAATTCCTCGAGAAATATGACCCAATGACACAATAAGTACCGGTCATTACCGCGGCCGGCCGGCGGGCGGTAAGAAAATTAAATTCCCACGCACGATCGCCTTCTCGCGCCATTAACGTTTTCCGACCGCGTTAGAAGTTCCCTCGCTCGCTAGCGTGAATTTGCAGACGCGCCGTTTAGCCACGAGTTCGTAGCGCATGCTTCTTCGAGCGATAAAACAAGGAGGTGAGAGAGACGAAAAATTCCGTCGGCACGATTATACCGACTTTTTAAACGGTCGTCTTAGAAGCGCGACGCGAAGTGCGCTGCGCTTGGAGAAGCTTGCGGCGCGAAGGCTCCTGTTTTCCTATTTTCCCCGCGACGACGATACAAACGTATTACCGCTGCTCCTCGCGGCACTCGTGTCCGACGAATAAAGCCCGGATCGCGCATAAATATTTCACACATCACCCACCGAGATATACAGGCGTTTAAAGGCGCGCGAGAGGAGAGGAGCGCTCCCGGCGTCGGGGTTGGCTCGCGGAAAGTTTCGCGCGATTTTACGTTGCGTCATAAATGCGGGATGTAAATCATACGGAGGACACGAGAGGGACTCCGCGCGGAGGCGCGTAAAAGTTGCAAAGGATCGAGAAGGAAGCGACGAGGTGCCGGTGTCATCGACAACGCAATTAATCCCGTGTGCGCGACTAGAACCTCGCGATTACTTCTATTTCTCTTTGCTTTCTTTTCAATTTTACGTAAGACATTATATAAAATCCAACATTTCCCATGAAAGCTGCGAAATTTTCAAGAAATATAATATAATTCTATAATTTGCGATCCATTACGTAGTTACTAATTACGTAGTTACTAACACTTTCGAAATATCGAAAACTGTTTTGCTTTAAAGTTTATAGTCTAAAAAATAATGTAAAAATGGTGTGATTTTTTAAAAGTTTCGCAGTACTTTGTGAGTTACAGCTTCTCAACTAATGTCGCACATGAGTAGCGAAAGAAGTACGTTTCGAGCACCTGAACATATAAATAACAAATTGCTTTTTAGCATTTGTTATTTCATACTCGTCTTCTTTCTTCTTTTTTATGTTTATATTAGTATGTGTTTCATGTTAGTATTAAAATTTTAATAAATCGTTAGCAGAATACCTCATTATGATTTTCAATGTTAAAATTTCCTAGTTAAAGACAAAGCGATATTGACAAATAGAATCTATTAAAAGTACGCTCGCATAATTTGTTGTCATCAACCGTAACTCATAAAAGGCAGAACCTGAACAAGCCTGAACAAAGAGGGTACTTCCGCTGGATGATCGGAGCATATCGTAAAGTATGAAACTTTTCGGAAGAGCGACCACACGTGCTGACCACGTGTTTCGTTGAGAACGCGACGTAAAAGAGTCAAAGCCCTTGTCGTCCATAACCGCAAACAAAGGAATACGCAACGTCATTCTTCCATAATAAATAACGAAATCATCTCTTCATGCTGTTAATTAATGATTGGTTCGCTCCAAACGGTGGTCATTCTTAACGAACAATCGATGATCGCGCAATCGATTTTTGTATCGGCTACTGAAAAACCGAGAAGACTTTCTCGTGACTGTTCAATACTGTTCAACCGATAAACCGATGACGAACACGGATTAATTTCCAAAAATTAAGGCGGAATCTTATCACGGCTGATAACGTTCCGACTCACATACGATGAACAAATATCCGTGTGGTTTCTCGTTCTCAGAAGGAGTAGCTCTGATATTTACCCAAAGGTGATAAACGTCATTCACGACTCAGCGCGTGTGCACGTTGCCTAACTCAACAAAGTAGCTTCTCTATTTGTCATATCATGACCGATAAGTACTGACTTTCAAAATTGATGATTTCTCTATCTTGGGAGAAAAATATATTATGCGTCGATGAATTCATGTTTCTTGCGTTTTCAAAATATCTTTGACAACTATTTTCCTACAATTATATTTATATATTGTTATAAATTATATATTAAAATAATTTATATACCGATATAATAATTTAATGTACCAAATAATATTGTACTATATACTCAATAAAGATAAAGATATAAAAATTATGTACTAAAGTAATTGGGAATTATTATTATTTCCCGCATAGAAAAAGCAACGTCTACGTTAATTTTCGCGAGAATCTCATCGTGAAGAGTAAAATTATCTTTCTCCGCTGCGCGGTCACTCTCGCAGAAATAACTCGCCCTCCCGCTTTGAATTGAGGAACTGAGAGCGTTGCCATTGTCGATGTTACGCGGGAAGCTTTAAGTTTCGCAATCACATTACGACTATTTACGACTGACACGATGACTGTCCGTTTCGCGCAAGTTGCCGCGTTGCGAATCTTGCGAAAAGTGCAACCGCAGCGAGCGCATAGACGCAAGAATCCAGTCACTATTACCGCACATTGATTTTCATACGTAGAATAAAACGTTCTCTTCTTCTATGTATGCGTAAATTGGGATATATAATAGTATCATTATCGTTTCTCGCGTCTAGCAATCATTCCGAAATAGTGATCTTGAAAAATAGTTTTATAAAATTGATGCGTCCTGTGTACGACAATCAATTTTTTTTCAGATAATATTAAAACGACACGTTATGCCGCGCTCTACCTACATGTAATAATATTTCTCATGTTTAGTTTCTAATAGAGTCATCTATGAGATTCATACGAACGCTTACCGCGTATTGCGTTGCGTCGTGCCACGTCGTTTGTCCTTGATTACATCAAGCTGGTATTTCAGCACGTGGCAATCCTCCACTCCCCACTTACGAACGGTACGCGATGAATGAAAACTAACAGGGTGTAAATATTTACGGCATCATTTCAAAAATCACACGTCTTTGTGTTAATCGCGTACAAGACGGCATCGCGCGCACGACGACCGTTCGTTCGTCCACGCCAGCGACGATATTACGAGGTAAGCGTAAATAAACACGCTTCTTTAAAAGCGCGCCGAGATATTCATAATTTTCAGCTGCGGCTCGAGCAATATTCATTCAGAGCTGTAGCGGGCCTCTCCGCTGAACAAATAAGCGAAAACTGTAAGAATCAGCTGATTTCGTCGACACGAGACTCATTACTTCGTGCTTGTCACGCGTTCTTCAAAACATGAGTCTACAACGGGCAGTAGGAATACGTTTATAAGAAGTGAGAAATTAACCAATCATAGTCGATTATTCTCTTTGCATTCGAATATGATTGATCAATTTCTCATTCTAACTTCTTATGAATATATACTCCTACTGCCGATTGTAGACCACCGTTCCGGCCTGTTCGTAGAACCACTTAGTTTTCCGCGTTATCACGATGGAATGTCGCTCGCATATTTCCCGTCGAAGGTAACAAATTATACCGCCGACGCCCCGATGTATGACAATAAAAGAAACGGAGGAGAAGGAAGATTTGTTTTCCCGAAGCGGGTAACGTCACCAGACGCACGGAGATTTAATCGGCTGGACATTCCAAGAGCATGATGATTTCGTGATGATGTCACCGCGGCATCGAGCGGAATCGTAATCAGGATTTCGCCTTCGAGCACCGGCGAGTGTACTGGCCGAGCGAGTCGCCGCGGTAGATACCGATCGCCACGTCGATAAATCGAACGATTACGAATCACCGGCGGTGCCCGCGTCGCTACGCCGGGGCATGCTTCGAGCCGAGATGTAAGATGTAACTCCGCTACTGGCTGCTGTAAACAACGCGCCCCGCTTCCGTTACGCTTAATCCGTGATATCACCGCGGCGATTCGCGTCGATCGGCTGTCGCCTTTAATTGGATGATCGAACGATCTCGCCTGTTCGTTTGGTTACCGAACTCGCCTCCCCCCCCCCCCCCCNTCGATAGAATAAAGAGAGATATTTTCCATTGTCGTCGCGTGATCCGCGATCGATCCGTCCTCGACGAACAATAATCGAATTCTTTTGGTGTTCAACAATTATAAACAACACACGTGCGGTCTCTTACGTGAGCAAGACAATTTCCTGATGTTTTCAGATGTTCGCCGATTATTTTCTTGCCAGTCACCGGCGTAGAATATAAATATAAATGACTGTTGAATTGACGTCACGTCGACGTTACGTGTCGAGCGATAAAAAAGAAAATGGAACGTTTAAGTTGCATATTTTATCACCAGATAGCGATAGGCCTAGGTTTCTTTCTCGTCGAACTAACTCTGTTCCCCTCTTTCTTCCACCAAGCTTTAACTGTATATCTGTCTCTCTTCAAGTTTTGCAAGTATATCGGTTCGGCGAAAAAAGGCAGACCTAATTTCAATCGGTTAGCATTGATCTGCACACCAGACGACTGTTGAACTCATGTTTTGCATCTTGATACTTCGATAAATTTTTTACGATCCTACCTGTGTCAATATGCAACGAAAACACAAGATGGAATTCTCGTAACCTGTCATCGATGTTCCACGGTGTGAATCAATAAAGGCACCAAACGGAACGGCAAATGTACAGTTCGCGTGACCTTCGATGCTCGGAAGGTAAATCAAATCAAAGTTTCACGCATTGTGCGATCAATCGGGCGTTTTGAAGACCGAAAGTAACGACTGAATAACACGCGAAACAGTCATTAAATCATTGCGGTGTGTCGAAGATGAATGAAACGAGATGAGTGATAACGCCTGCAAATTGTCACCTAACCTCGTCTCAGGCGAGACCGGCAAAATGTGTCGAATTTATCTCGATGTAACATTCGCGCGGTGTCACCGTGCGACGGATAGATAACGAGGCGGAGATAGAGATCGCGATAGAGACGGAAGTACAACCGGCTGAATAAACATTTGATATTTCTCGGATGTCATCGTCGTAGGCGAGATTCCGTGGAGGAGAGAGCATGGACGCCGTACTTACCCGAGGATTCCGCGCGGACGCTCAAGACCGGCGACGAAGCGGCGGCGGGCGTGCATCCACGTGTTCGAGACGGCGAGTTGGAATTCACTTGTACAAACGTCGCGCGACAACACGGCCGACACAAGAAAATCACCAAGCCACCGCGGCGTCCTCGCGACGATCGCACGATTATATCACCGCGGTTACGCCGCCTTACCTTCGAATGCGTTTTCCGCCTCACTCCCGGCGATAGATTATCTCGTAAAACAACTCACTTCCGCAAAATCCAGATTAACCGTTCTTTTCTATTCGACACACGACGACGACGACGACTCGTCGATAGGAAAACGCGACACACGATATCCCTTCGGTGGTGTTGCTTCGATAATCGAAGGAACTTTGATCGATTCAGCCGATGCGACGTCGGATGATTTGAGGCAACGAATCAGCACGGAGGAGACTGAAGTTCGTCGCAAGCCTCGCGCCAGCTGCCACTTCAGTCGAGCTGGGATTCCTCCGTTCTTCGCTTCGTACACACGTACGCTCGACGACGCGCGGGGGTCGTATTCAAAGCGCCTGGCGTTGTGTATCTCGCGGTGTGTCACGTGGGGGCGTCCGTTAGTCGCTGTGCTTGTTGATTGTCGCCATGGACGCGAGCGGATCATCGATGGCGTTCCCGCGGAATGCCGATACCTGCGGTGTCACGAGATTCTGCCCGTACACGGAGCCAATGTGACAACCTCGACATTTCCCCGAATTCGCGTCACTTAAGGCGGGAGGGCCGACACGGGTTCACATAGGTCGACAACTTTCGATCAAGGTAACCTCCGCTTCGTACTTCCTGCGAATGTCACGCGGCGATCGCGAGATAAACACTGGCGAGAAGCTCGGTGGCTTTCCTGGAAGCGACGTCGCGACCTTATTCCCTCGCACCGATCAAGGACACTGTCGCGCCCGAAATTTCCGGAGAGACGCGACGCGTTCAAATCGAATTAGCGCCACGAAATGCGGGAACCGACTCCCGCAACCGCTGCGGCGAGACTGAGAAGCGACCGCGGCGTGCGCATGCTCGGCACGCTTACCGCTCGGATCCGAGCCAGTCACGGAGTCGTCCCGTCTCGGTCTCTCCCGCCACGTGCATCGTCGTGCACCGTGCTCTTTCTCCTTCGTTTCCGATCCGTCTCGCTCGCACGATCCGACGCGCTCTTCTCCGTCGCCCTCGCTGTCCCGCGCTTCATTCAGAATCGTTATCTCCGTTTCTTTCCACCGTCGATTGTTTACATCAGAGATTCCCAAATGTACAGGCGGACATCGTGTCGCCAGCTATTTTCTCACGTAGGCCGTACTCGAGAACTTGGGAATTCTAACCCGGGAGACTTGGACTTGAGATTTCGAGCCTCTCGACACTGCGGGCTCTTTAAAGTACATCGGGACTTGCCCGTGCGAAATTTAACTTTCGTAAAACGATTGAACGAGAAGACGAAGTCTCACTTTCAAGAAGGATCATTTTTATCGAGCGATTTTACTAATATTTCGCATCTTTCCCTTCGCCACGCGTCTTTTTAACAGCGCGGTGTTCTCTTTCTTTCTCTTTCTTACCCACGAGCACGAACATTCGCCGACTGTCTCGTCAACGCGCCCCGCTCTCTCAGCTGTTCCGTGGCGGAGGCACGCACGTGCGTGTGCACGTAGGCGTCTGTCGCGCCGCAGGCGCCGGCCCTCAGTTTTCACGGAATGATCAGCGAGGATGTAGGAGTCTAATTACGCGTGCATGCCTACCGATTGTTCGCCGGCGCACTCGAGATCTTTTCTGACTATAACGTAACCATGTAGACTAACCGCATAATGAATAATTCATTTGGAAAGCAATCGTTATTATTACATACTCTTACCTCTGTTTTGCAACTTCCATCTACGCACGAGAGATTTTTATCGGCAGCATCGAGCTCATGATTTCAATGACTTTTTCGCAATCTAATCAATTTCCTCAAAAATATTCTTCTTCCTTCTTCCTTTTTTCCCAAGAAACGATGTACAAGTCAACACGGCTGTGATTTGCTTGATTATTACTGTAATCATAGAGATCAATATAAGCAAATAATTTATGTTTAGACAAATAATAATACGTTTTTTATCATTAATATATACAATATGTCTGGTGCAAGCCGTCATACACATGTAGTTTAGGTCAATATGTAAACAATATGTAAACAAAAAGTACTGTATCATTTTGCAAACAACCACGCAAAATTTTGAATTATTAATTATCGAAAATGACCATAGGTAAAAGTTTCATTAATTAATTCAAAATTTGTATCAAACACCTTATATATTCATTAACACGTTCAATGCCAAGCTGAAAATTGGAATTTCGTTTTTTTTTTATTTTCTTATTTAGTTTTCATTGTGCTCAAAATAAGTTAATATATTATTTATATGCTTTTATTATTATGTACATAGGATTTATGTACTCTAAATATCTATTACGCGATAACGCGTGATCGGCCGTTTGGTGAGAACTCGCATCACGCGATATCGCGTGATTGGCACTGAACGTGTTAAATGTGTATGGATGCTGACATTATATCGTTCGGGTGTCAATCTTACGCTCAACATAATATTAAATAGCGTACCCATGTACAATAGTCAATCCAGTTAGTCATATCGATCTTCGCTTGTCCCCATTTTACTCCACACGTAATGATAACGCGAGCATTACGCTGAGCACAGCGGTTTCCAACCTTGGCTCCAGCCGTTTCGATCGTGAGCGTAACTTGTCGCAAAATACGATACGAGAGTTATGACTGCGTCATCTCGGCAAAACTAATTTTTGCGCGCGACATCCTCGGGCGCGATCCGTGGATCCCGAGGTGGCGAGCCGAAATTTATCGCGGTGAGACTGATCGATGGAATGCAACGAGGCACCTCCTCGCGGAATGTCCACTTCGCCCGCCGGTCCTGCGAGCGCGCGTCCTTGAAATCGAGGATCCTGGGCCATTAATTCCGCCGAGGATGTTCCGCGCGAGGGAACATTCGTCCTCGCGAGACTCAGCTGTTTCTTACGGGACGCGCGAGCATGTTGGGGCACGCGCGGATACACGTTCCCGACTATCTTGAGTGAATAGTCCTAGCCACCATGTCGCCCCACGGTCTACTACTCCGAAGGATCTTCCCCGCCCGCTGTCGTAAAGTCGACGAGAAAAGCTGTGTCGTTCGTTGAATCTGAGATTTACGCGGCGCTCCATGCAAATGATATTCAGTCGACCCTTCGTTCGTCGGCCTCAAAACTAGCAAGCACGGGCGAGAGAATTTTTTCTTCTCGGATACATACACATCTACACAGTGTGTGTAATCTCCAGATTTCCGGTTGATATTGGGTATCTCGGCAATTATATCAAACTGGATGTACGCTCTGGTAGAGACGGAGATCGCTCGGGATTACACGCGTACGGTAAGGTTTCGTTCTTAAGAAGGCTCTTTTTCATTTCGTTATCTGCTGAAATTACACTTCTCCGTACTTTTACACCAGTCCCCTGGCAAAATTATACGAGAATTATATGCTATACGTGGGTAAACTCCGTTTCTCCTAACACCGTCTCATTGTCCGCCGTGACGAGTCGTGATGCGCGGGACTCATAAAATAGGCTCGAAATCGATAATCGACGAGCAGGAAGAAGCTCGCCCCGTGCATACATCGTAGCAGCGCGGCATGCCGGAGAAATTACCCTATTATTACTTCATCTAGTCCAGAACGGTGCTAGCCCGTGGCTTTCCGTGCTTTGGGTACCCTAGGATAATCAGCTATTTACCGCGCAGGTTGTTCAACCCTCCCGCTAAGAACAGCGCGAAGCTCTTTACACGCCTACGCTATAGAGATTGTAAATATTCACTTAAATGGGGATGCATGGCGGCCGGATATACTCGCCGCTTTAATTCCGTAGAAGTCGGTAATGCACATTTTTCTCCTAACTCGGACAATTCGAGAGATGTGATTTTTTCCACATAAATAATATATAAAAGTTGTAGAACATTTAATTAAGTTAAAATACAAATATCAAATAATATGAACCTGCGGCAACAATTTTTGTGTTATCTCGAGGAAACTTATTTTTTTCTTAAAAACATCTTTGTAACGTGTAGTATTAATAAAATTTGTTGCCTGAGAATATCTGACGGTTTGAGAATTAACAGTAAATAATTTGATGAGTTATTACGCAAATAAAATGTTAATTAAAATATCTCGGCTGAATTAGAACTAACGCCTCGTTGTGGAACTCTTTTTCTGGAAGCCGGCGTTGCGTGTCGCAAGAAAGTCTGGCGGCGTCTCTTTGCGGCACATCGCACGTTTCAACTTTAATTTACCGAGGGTGATATCATGGGCGCCCGCATGCCTTTTCATTAATCTTAATTACTGCGCAATTAAAAGCAGTTAACGAAAGTGGGGTCGTGAACTGATGGCGACATGCCTACCTTCGTGATCGCGTTCTCTCTCTCTCTCTCTCTCTCTTTCTCACCGTTTTCACGTGCATATTATTTCGTTACATTATTATATTATTATATTATTATATTCACGATAAGAGGAACAGAAAAAATATGTAAAAGACAAAAAATAAAATAAATAGTGAGAGACTACGTTGGCAATTGTAGAACTCGCGGACATTGTATACGCGTGGGATCGGGAAACAAAGTTCCAAGACACTGTGTAGATATCGGGGACGAGCTGCTTTCCGTCGAGTCGAGTTATGATTTATGTGTTTTCGTGTTCGAATTCATCAAGGCGCATTAGAGGGACCCGGAATATCTCGCATCGTCGATTTCATTTGCATTCCTTTTCTCGCCAAGGCCGCGTGGGACCCACGGACACCAGGGGTCCCCGCGGTTGTTTCATCGTACGCGCGCGCGTCTCCTCTCTCGACTTTGACTTTCGTTCTCGCGCGAAGCGGTGCGTATTAAAGGTCTCCCCGATAATAATGACAAACGTTCGTCCTCTCGCGGTGAGAATTATTCGTTTCGCGATCGCCCCGGCGAGGGCCCCCACGGAAATGCGGGCGTTAAATCAACGACTGGCACGAACCTAACTTACCTCGTTATCGCCCTTACACCCTCCGCCGACACGCGAGAGATTTACTTAACAATGACGGCGATGTCTCGGAAAGGCAAGTGCAGGGGTCATTGTGCGTCGGCAACAATCGGCCTTCCGCAACTCGCACGTGTCTACGTTAGTCTCTAACAATTATCCCTTAAATTGAAATGAAACTCGCGCGTTGGAATTGAAATTGGAACGATGTAAAGTGAAATAGAGAAATAATTCGATTTAACGTAAAATTGAGAATAATTTTATAATAATGTTCGCATAAATATTACATATACTACGCGTATTATGTATCCGAATTAGAAAAATATCTTAGATAAAATTATGTATTTATTCTATAATTAAATATAAAATACAATCTGTTGTAAAAAAAAATCCAACTTTTGACGTTACATAGACACGTGCTTGTCGGCTCTCACGATTGTCCAACAAAAATTCTCATGGCTGTGATGATACCGTAAACCAGGTAGGACCCAAAGGAAATGGGCGGATCCGATCTCTTGGTACAAGGATATGATAAAAAGCCCCCCGTAGTGGCTGAATCTACGAATCTTTTTTAAAGTGTCCTTTTTCTAATGTGAAGCTTGTGTCGGCTTTGTGTGAGAAACCTCGCTGAATATGCACTGGGAGCTTCTATACAAAAGAATTATTAGTTCAAAGAAAAGTCGAATCCATAACCTCAACATGCTGCCTCTCTTTTATGCTTTGTCTTTTGTCCTTTATTCTTTGAGAAACGATTGGTAATAATATTTATGGACATTGAAAAATGTTCAGATATAACAAAAACGAGAGAAAAATGTCTAGTTTGTTAATTCCAGCGAGGAAATTGAAAAAACACGGTTATTTCGGCATAGCTTTATAGATATTAATAAAGTAATCACACAAACACACGACTGATCTGAAATCTTGTGTCTTTGTGGATTAAAG